TCCCAGCACTTTGGGAGGCCGAGATGGGTGATCATGAGGTCAGTTCAAGACCAGCCTAGCCAACATAGTGAAACCCTGTCTCTACTAAAAATACAAAAAATTAGCCAGGCATGGTGGCAGGCACCTGTAATCCCAGCTACTCAGGAGGCTGAGACAGAAGAATCACTTGAACCTGGGAGGCGGAGGTTGCAGTGAGCCAAGATCATGCCATTGCACCCCAGCCTGGGCAACAGTGTGAGACTCCGTCTCAAAAACAAAAACAAAACAGTAAGTGCTTAGCATTAAACTGAATCCATAATATATGCTCAGTATATACTTAAAAAAAGCAAAACAGAAGGCCCGGCACAGTGGCTCATGCCTGTAATCCCAGCACTTTGGGAGGCCGAGGCAGGCGGATCACAAGGTCAGGAGATCGAGACCATCCTGGCTAGCACGGTGAAACCCTGTCTCTACTAAAAATTTTTTAAAAATTAGGTGGGCTGGTGGCGGGCGCCTGTAGTACCAGCTACTTGGGAGGCTGAGGCAAGAGAAAGGTGTGAACCCGGGAGGCGGAGCTTGCAGTGAGCCGAGACTGCACCACTGCACTCCAGCCTGGGTGACACAGCAAGACTCCATCTCAAAAAAAACAAGCAAAACAAGGATGGACTTTCATAAATTCATTCAAATTTTATCAATATCTACAGAAACTTGGCCCTGTGCTAGCAAGTGAGCCCCATAAAAGAGACATCTCTACTTTCAATGAGCTTACAAATTAGTGAAGAAACAGACATGTAATGTGACAATTACAACATAATATGACAATGGGACCTCCCAGAAATTGAAGCACTTAGGACTGTCTCATACTCTATAGAGAATGAAAAGCCAGAACTCCTCTCTGCAAGAAGAGTTGTGCATCAGGCAGGTAAGATGCTGGCATTCCAGGTAGAAGGAAAAGTATGCATGAAGGCACAGAGGTGAGAGACAATGGCATGATGCCAGCCCCACCTCCCTCTCAAAACTCATTTTGACCCATGTGCCCCCGACTGACCAGCCTGCCACCACTGTCCTTTTAGGAATTTCTTAAGAGGCAAACCCTCTTGCTCCTCAGGTGTTTGCATATTAGGTTTCCTCTCTCTGAAAACACCCTCTCTCCACTCTTACTCTTGCCTAACTAGCCCCTGCTTATCTTGCAAGTCTCAAATTTGTTTTAAGTGTTTTTTGTGGGTGTGTGTGAAATGAAGTCGCACTTTGTTACCCAGGCTGGAGTGCAGTGGCGCCATCTTGGCTCACTGCAACCTCCGCCGCCCGGGTTCAAGCAATTCTCCAGCCTCAGCCTCCTGAGTAGCAGGGATTACAGGCACAAGCCACCATGCCCAGCTAATTTTTACGTATTTAGTAGAGACGGGGTTTCGCCATGTTAGCCAGGGCTGGTCTCGAACTGCTGATTTCAGTTGATCTGCCGCCTTGACCTCCCAAAGTGCTAGGATTACAGGCATGAGCCACCACGCCCGGCCATTTTAAGTCTTTACTCAATATTTTAGAGAGGCCTCTAAATTAGTCACCTCTGATATTTCCTCTCATATCAACCTTTTCTTTTCCTTCGTTGAACTTTTTTTTTTTTTTTGAGACAGAGCCCAGGCTGGAGTGGCATGATCTTGGCTCACTGCAACCTCCACCTCCCAGGTTCAAGCAATTCTCCTGCCTCGCCTTCCCGAGTAGCTGGGACTACAGGTGCCCGCCACAACAACTGGCTAATTTTTGTATTTTTAGTAGAGGCAGGGTTTCACCATGTTGGCTAGGCTGGTCTTGAACTCCTGACTTCAAATGATCCAGCCACCTCAGCCTCCCAAAGTGCTAGGATTACAGGCATGAGCCACTGCGCCCGGCCTGGACTTTTCAAAATGTATAATTCTACATTTGTGCGATAGTTTTTAAAATACCTCTCTATCCTACCAGACAGAAAGTCCCATGACAGCAGAGATCCTGTCTGTCTTGTTCCCCTCAGTATACCCAGCTCCTAGCATGCAGGGACTGGCAAGGAGTCAACACTCAAATCTTTACTGAATGGCAACATACTCAGAACTATAAATAATTTCATTTTGATGGAAAAATCTGCATATGTATAAATATTATCTTAGTGTAGCAGGAGAGGGACAAAATATGTTACTGAGCCTGCAGTCAGGGGCCTTATGAATTACACAAAGGAACCCTCGATAGAATTCTAAAGAGGAGTGATAATAGTCTGTGCAGTTTTAAGCAGTCACTCTGGAGCAGTGTGGAGTACAGAGTGGCAGGGAAAGAGGGTAAGAGATGACAAGGTTTGCTAGTATCTGTGTAGTGACAGTGATAATACAGAGGAGAAGGGGTGGATTCAAAGACTACTTAAGAGTTAGAATCAATGACTTGGTAAGGGAATGAATAATACAGCTAGGGAGAAAGGAAGAAGTCTAGATAACACCAAGATTCCTGGCTTGAATTTTTAGGTGGAAGGTGGAGGCTGTTCAACAAAGGCAGGTGAATGAATTAAAGGGCAGTTGGCAGGGAAGATAACAGGTTTGGTTTTGGACATGTTGAATTTGAGATGCCTGTGGAGGTAAAAGAATCTAGGATGGTATGGCAAATGTGTCTGGAGTTCAGAATACAGATCTGGACTAGAAAAATAGATTTAGCTCCATCAGTGGGTTAAAAAGTAGCTAAAAACATGGGTGTAGGGCCAGTACGGTGGCTCACGTCTGTAATCCCAGCACTTTGGGAGGCTGAGGCTGGTGGATCATCTGAGGTCAGGAGTTCGAGACCAGCCTGTCTGGGCAACATGGTGAAACCTTGTCTCTACAAAAAATTAGCCAGGCGTGGTGGTGCACAACTATAATCCCAGCTACTTGGGAGGCTAAGGCAGTAGCTTGAACCCAGGAGGCAGAGGTTGTAGTGAGCCGAGATCACGCCAATGCACTCCAGGATGGGCAACAAGAGCAAAATTCCATCTCAAAAAAAAAAAAAAAAAAAAAAAAGAGGAAAGAAAAGAAAAACATGGATGCAGATGGGACAGATAGAGTGTCCAAAATGATAAGCTAAGAGAAAATGTAAAAAAAAAAAAGAGATGTAAGAATTAAAAGGAGAGGATGAAAAACTTAAGAGAGATCAGCACACGGGACCTACCAGGCAGGTTCTGGCTCTATCAATAATTTCCACTACAAAATCAAGCCCCACTCACATGTGCCATGTCTACTCACACTGGATTCTGCTGGGGCCGCAGTGGGGGCAAACTTTCTAGGCCCTTCTCCCAGGCAGTAACAGCCATAGCAATCTCCTCCTCAGATAGGGTAGCCAGCTCCTCCTCCTATGAAGAGTGGAGAGAATCCCTTACAGGTGAGGGGGGGCCCACAGGGTAAAGAAGCTTTCTGCTTGCCACTACCTGAAAAAGTTGGTGGCCATGCTCAAAGTCCATCTCCTAGCCACCTCCCACCTCAGGCCCTGTTCCAAACCTCAGGCTCATTGGTGACAGCCCTTCCCTCAGCGGGGCTGGGCTGGGGCTGCTTTTGGAGGTAAGGCTGGAGAGCCAGGACACCTTGCTGTTTCAGTACAGTCTCTGCAGCTCGCTGACATGGCTCCTGAGTACTCAGTGTCTGGAACCAGCTGTGCAGGGCACTCAGCTCCTCTGTGGGTATGGGAGAAAAGAAAATCAGCAAACATAAGGACCTGGTAGGCAGGAGTGGGGCTCTTCCCCCTTCTTTGTGAGGTTTCTCCAGTTGCTTTCCCCAGTTCCCTCAGCCATCTCCTGCTATAGTTACCCAGTCTAGCTGCACCTTGAAGGGAGTTCTCAGTATTCTACTGCCCATTCTATAACCCCCCTACACCAAGCTCCTAGGGTTGGAGTGATATGCACAGTTCTCACCAGGGAGGTAGGCAGGATCTTGCAGTAATGGGTATAGGGCTCCCCACAAAACAATGTCGGCTAGAGATTCTGTCTCCTTTGTTGGGGATAGAAAAGGAAAATGTACACAAATGAGACACTCAGTTTCTTCCCAATGGTAATATCTAACATTTACTGAGCACTTACTGTGTGTCAAGCACTGTATTAAGCACTTTATATTATCTCACTTAATCCTCACAATAACTTACTGAGGTAGGTACTAATATCACCCCTATTCCACAACTGAAAAAAAAATTGAGGATTAGAGAGATTAAGTGATTTGCCAAGATTACACCACTAGTAAGTGGCAGTGTTGGGTTTGAACAATCTGAAAATAGTCTTCCCTCTTAATCCTTACACCATAAGCCTTCCCCAATCCTCATCTCAAGACCCAACTCACCCCAGCCAGGAAAGGACAGTTCTGACGACTCAAGCTGTGGTCAATGTGAGTCAGGGCTCTCCGTACTGAACCAAGAACATCTTCCCCCTTCTTGCCTTGGACCACTAAATAGTACAGGGCAGCAGACAAAGCTGGCTAAAATGCAGGGGACATGAGTCAGGATGGCCACGCAGAGCAAGGGCCTGCCAGACATCCCCCATACCTTAGTCCTACCTGCAGCTCTGTCGCTTCCCATTCCAGCCACTGGTTAGTGAGGTCATCTTGCTCCCAGCCAGATAGCAAAAAGAAATATCTGCCCAGAAAGACAGCAACAGATGATGGATTTAGAGGGGCCCGTTTATCTAGCCCATTTCTCATCACACAGGGAAACAATGGCTGCAAATAAAGCCACACAAAGGACAGTGCGGTCTGATTTGATTCAGCCACCTCCCTACACCAAGGCCCGATACTGACCGGCAGATTGCACTAGTGGAGAAGAGGTAGTTGCCACTATCCAGCTGCAAGACAGGGACTTTAGGCCGGGTCAGGAACGGGACCACACAGTCTGATGCAAAAATGGAAAATGGGTTAAAAAAAAAAAAAGGAAAAGAAAAGAAATGCTTTGTCAACTTAGGATAATCTTGCATTGTTCAGTGAGTTAGAAAAGAAAGATGGGCAGTCTCAACCCAGAAGTTCCAGGATAGGACCACTGAAAGGGGGTGGGTCCGGAATGGGCTGGAGAGGCCAGCAGGTGTTCAGCTGAAACTGCCAGCTGGAAGCAACAGATGGGGACTGCAGAGGAGGTGGTGGTATTGGGATAGTGCTGCAGCCAAGAACTTAACGACTAAAAGTAACTGGGATATCTTAATAATTATCTGAAGGTCACAGTGGGAGAACAAAATTAAAAGAGCTGAGAAGACTGACAAGAGAACCTCCTAAGAGTCACCCAAACAATCGGCTGAGAATGAGAAGAGGTAAACAGAAAGAAGTGTGTGTGTGTGTTAGGAGGGGAGAGAGGGATTTCCTAAAAACACAAAAGGATGCCTGGGGGCTGTCATACTAGTAACTAAAGAGCAGAGGAGCGTGCCTGATAGGTGTAGGAGAAGGTTGGGAAGGGAAGAACAGTTTACTGTGGTGAGGCGGGGTCCTGGAAGACGGAAGAGGGGAGGAGAGAGATAAGGGAAGAGCATTATATTGAGGGTAATTAAAGGAAGTGAAGTGAAAGATGTGACTGGGAGGGAAGAAGACGTGGAGTGATCAAGGATAACGGAAGTGGTCGATTGGGGTGTGTGGCGAGGACTGGGGGTTTGGCAAAGACAGCTGCAGAGAATCTGAGGTGTTTCGGTCCCGCCCCCCACCCCCATCCACCGCCCACCAGCACCAGCACGAGTACCTTCGGGGCCTACAGTGCTGATGAGCAGCTCTGCTCTGCCCCGGGCTCTCCCGGCCGCGGCCAGCACCGGCAAGCAACCCGGGGCGCCCTCGCTCACGAACAGTCTCATTTCGCCGTGAATCCCACGCTGATGCAACCGGAACCGGCCTTCCTGGGCTCGGTTGAGCGGCCTCCGCGAGGCACGCCGGGAAATGGAGTCCCGTGTTAGGCCACTGCCTGGGCACCGCTACCGGAAGGTAGACTATTTCTCCCATCATGCAACACTAGGACATAGGAAAAGACTATCATCGAGATGAAGAGGCCGCAGATGCTGGCTGGGGCCCGCACTGTAGTAGCTGTGTGTGTGTGTGTGTGTGTGTGTGTATTATTAGCTATTATTAATGCGCGCGCGCGTGCGTACTAGGACATGAGAAGAAGACTATCATCGAGATGAAGGAGGCCGCGGATGCGCGGCTGGAGGCGCAGTGTGTGTGTGTGTGTGTGTGTGTGTGTGCGCGCGCGCTGGGACATAGGAAAAAGACTATCATCAGGGGATGAAGAGGCCGCAGATGCCATGGCTGGAGCGCTGTGTGTGTGTGTGTAATGTGTGTGTGTGTGTGTGCGCATAGGACATAGGAAAAAAGACTATCCCATCGAGATGAAGGGCGCAGATGCGCGGCTAGAGCGCACTGTGTGTGTGTGTGTGTGTGTGTGTGTGTGTGTGCTGGGACACTTAGGAAAGACTATCATCGAGATGAAGAGGCCATAGCAGATGCATGGCTAGAGCGCACTGTGTGTGTGTGTGTGTGTGGCACGCGCTGAGGACACTTAGGAAAGACTATCATCAGAGATGAAAGGCCGCAGATGCAGCTAAGAGGCACACTGTCTAGAGCGCACTGTGTGTGTGTGTGTGTGTGTGTGTGTGTGTGTGTGCGCGCGCGCGCGCGCGTCTCCTTCTGTCACCTAGGCTGAAGTGCAGTGGCACGATCTTGGCTCACTGCAACCTCTGCCTACTGGGTTCTCCGGCCTCAGCCTCCTGTGTAGCTGGGACTACAGGCACGTGACACACGCCTGGCTAATTTTTGTATTTTTAGTAGAGGCGGGCTTTCACCATTTTGGCCAGGCTGGTCTCGAAGTCCTGACCTCAGATGATCTGCCCGCCTCGGCCTTCCAAAGTGCTGGGATTACAGGCGTGAGCCACCGCGTCCGGCCTAGAGCAGCACTATTTTTCTGGAGGTCCAGAAGAGACGTTTAGGTTTTAGGGCAAGTCGCACTTTTACCCTCTTACGCTGCTGGAGGGCGATGGCTGAAACCGCGGCTTCTTCTCTTCTCCTGAAATGGCCATGTCATAACAGCGGCTATTCTTAGTGGCTCTGGATTCAAGCTCTTAACTGTCAGAGTTTTGGAGTTCGGAGTTACCATGTGCGTAATTATTTTAGTGACAAAGCGGAAGTTAGTGTACACATCCATCCTATCAACAACAAAAATGTAGATAGGCTGGGCGCGGTGGCTCATGCCTGTAATCCCAGCACTTTGGGGAGTCGAGGCGGGTGAATCACCTGAGGTCAGCAGTTCGAGACCAGCCTGGCCAGCATGCGGAAACCCCATCTCTACTAAAAATACAGAATTAGCCGGGCATGTGGCAGGCGCCTGTAATCCCAGCTACTCGGGAGACTGAAGCAAAAAAATCGCCTGAACCCGGGAAGCGGAGGTTGCAGTGAGCCAAGACCGCGCCATTGCACCCCACCCTGGGCAACAAGAGGAAACTCCATCTCAAAAAAAAAAAAAAAAAAAAAGAATGTAGATAGTAAAATATTAATACCAGTTTGAGCTCATATACAGCTCTACGTCTCATCAAAAGGGTAGAAGAGCATCTCTTTTTTTTTTTTTTTTTTTGAGGCGGAGTCTTGCTCTGTCGCCCAGTATGGACTGCAGTGGCGCGCTCTCAGCTCACTGCAACCTCCGTCCCCGGGTTCATGCCATTCTCCTGCCTCAGCCTCCTGAGTAGCTGGGACTACAGATGCCCGCCACCAAGCTCTGCTAACTTTTTGTATTTTTAGTAGAGACGGGGTTTCACCGTGTTAGCCAGGATGGTCTCGATTCCCTGACCTTGTGATCCGCCCACCTCGGCCTCCCAAAGTGCTGGGATTACAGGCGTGAGCCACCGTGCCTGGCCGAACATCTCTAGGGAAAAGATCAAATTGAGAAGTAAGGCTGGGCGGGGTGGCTCACGCCTTAACCCCAGCACATTGGGAGGCTGAGGCGAGCAGATCTCTTGAGGTCAGGAGTTTGAGACCAGCCTGGACAACATGTTGAAATCCCTTCTTTACTGAAAATACAAAAATTAGCTGGGTGTGGTGGTGCAAGCCTGTAATCCCAGCTACTCAAGAGGCTGAGCCAGGAGAATCACTTGAACCCAGGAGACAGAAGTTGCAGTGAGCCGAGATCGTGCCTCTGCACTACAGCCTGTGCAACAGAGTGAGACTTCATCTCAAAAAAAAAAAAAAGGAGATGCAAGATGGCTAAGAGTTTGGCAATAAGTATATATTATGCAAGGAAGCACATACCTGTTATTGAGAAAGGGATGCTTCTTATTCATCTTCATATTATTTTAAGAATAATATCTAATAGTACTCATGAGCTAGGCATTGTTTTAAGCACTTTACATTTGATCTCAGAAAATTCTATGGAGGTTCTGGGCCTTTTAAAGCTAGGCCATAAGAAGTTTTGCAGCTTCAGTTGCAGGCTATCTGGCACACTGGTAGCTTTGAGCTGCCATGTAAGAAATCCTACCACTTTGAACTGCCATGCTAGAGAGGTCTCATGTAGATATTCTGTCTGACAGCTCCAGCTAATCCCAGCATTTCAGTCATCCTTACCAAGGTGCCAGACATGTGAGTGAAGTCTTCCAGACCAGCCCATCTGCCCACTGAAAACTCTTAAGTGACCTTTGGTCAAGGCCACATCAGACAGAAGAATCACCCACCTAAGCCCTACCCAAATTTCTGCTCCATACCTGTACAATTGTTAAACTATAATAAAATGGCTGTTGGCCGGGCACGGTGGCTCAAGCCTGTAATCCCAGCACTTTGGGAGGCCGAGACGGGCAGATCACAAGGTCAGGAGATTGAGACCATCCTGGCTAACACGGTGAAACCCTGTCTCTACTAAAAAATACAAAAAACTAGCCGGGCGAGGTGGCGGGCGCCTGTAGTCCCAGCTACTCGGGAGGCTGAGGCAGGAGAATGGAGTAAACACGGGAGGCAGAGCTTGCAGTGAGCTGAGATCCGGCCACTGCACTCCAGCCTGGGAGACAGAGCAAGACTCCATCTCAAAAATAAATAAAATAAAATAAAATAAAATAAAATAAAATAAAATAAAATAAAATAATGCTATTGTTATATCAACAACAACAACAACAAAAACTAGGCCAGGCCCAGTGACTTATGCCTATAATCCCAGTACTTTGGGCAGCTGGATCACTTGAGCCCAGGAATTCAAGACTGCCTGGGCAACATAGTGAGACCCCATTTCTACAAAATTTTTTTTTTTTTTTTTTTTTTTTTGAGACAGAGTCTCACTCTTATCGCCCAGGCTAGAGTGCAGTGGTGTGGTCTTGGCTCACTGCAACCTCCACCTCCCAGGTTCAAGCGATTCTCCTGCCTTAGCCTCCCTAGTAGCTGGGATTACAGACACCTGCCACCACGCCCAGCTAATTTTTGTATTTTTAGTAGAGACGGGGTTTCATCATGTTGGCCAGGCTGGTCTTGAACTCCTGACTTCAGGTGATGCACCTGCCTCAGCCTCCCAAAGGGCTGGGATTACAGGCATGAGCCACCGCTCCTGGCCAAAAATAGTTTTTAAAACTAGCCAAGAGGCTGGGCGCAGTGGCTCACACCTGTAATCCTAGCATTTTGGGAGGCCGAGGTGGACAAATCACCTGAGGTCAGGATTTCAAAACCAGTCTGGCCAACATGGTGAAACCCTGTCTCTATTAAAAATACAAAAAATTGGCGGGGTGTGGTAGTACACGCCTGTAATCCCAGCTACTTAGGATGCTGAGGCAGCAGAATCACTTGAACCCGGGAGGCGGAGGCTGCAGTGACCTGAGATTGTGCCATTATACTCCAGCCTGGACGACAGAGCCAGACTCTGTCTCAAAAAAATAAATAAATAAATAGGCCGGACGCAGTGGCTCACACCTGTAATCCTAGCACTTTGGGAGGCCAAGGCGGGCCGCTCATCTGAGGACAGGAGTTCGAAACCATCCTGGACAACATGGTGAAACCCCATCTCTACTAAAAATACAAAAATTAGCTGGGCATGGTGGCCCATGCCTGTAATCCCAGCGACTCGGGAGGCTGAGACAGGAGAATTGTTTGAACTTGGGAGGCGAAGGTTGCAGTGAGCCGAGATCGCACCACTGTACTTCAGGCTGGCAACAGAACGAGACTCTGTCTAAAATAAATAAACCAACTGAGGTAGGTCTCTCATCTCCATTTTACTAATGAGGGAACTGAGGCACAAAGATGTGACTTTACGCCAGAAATCGCTGTAGAAGTGACCATAGAAGGCATTGAAGGCACAGTTATCAACAAAATGGATGTGGGCTTCTGCTACCTTGGAAGCACTCACAGACCTCCTGAAAGTCAGAAAATCAAACAATCCTTAAAGTGTGAGTTAGGGCCCCTCTAAAGGGTGAAAAGATGCTTTTTTTTTTTTTTTTTTTTTTTTTTTTTGAGGCAGAGTCTCGCACTGTCACCCGGGCTGGAGTGCAGTGGCACAGTCTTGGCTCACTGCAACCTCCGCCTCCCAGGTTCAAGCGATTCTCCTGCCTCAGTCTCCCAAGTAGCTGGGATTACAGGTGCCCACCACCATGTCCAGCTAATTTTTTTGTATTTTTAGTAGAGACGGGGTTTCACCATGTTGGCCAGGCTGGTCTAGAACTCCTGACCTTGTGATTCACCTGCCTCGGCCTCCCAAAGTGCTGGGATTACAGGTGTGAGCCACTGCGCCCAACCTTTTTTTTTTTTTTTTTTTTTTGAGACAGACTCTCGCTCTGTCACCAGGCTAGAGTGCAGTGGCATGATCTCAGCTCACTGCAATCTCTGCCTCCCAGGTTCAAGGCATTCTTGTGCCTCAGGCTCCCAAGTAGCTGGGACTACAGTAGCTGGGCCAGTACACTCAGCTAAGTTTTGTATTTTTAGTAGGGACAGGATTTTACCATGTTGCCCAGGCTGGTCTCAAACTCCTGACCTCAAGTGATCCACCGTCCTTGGCCTCCCAAAGTGTTAGGTTTATAGGCGTGAGCCACCGCGCCTGGCTGAGATGCTTTCCTGTGCAAGTGACCTTTCAGCTGAGATCTCAGTGATGAGTAAGAGTTACCTAGGTGAAGACTGGAGGGAGTGGAGAAGAGACGTGTTTCAGGCAGAGGAAACAACATATGCAAAGGATCAAAGATTTCAGTGCACTTTAAGAATGTGAGGCTGGGTGCGGTGGCTCAAGCCTGTAATCCCAGCATTTTGGGAGGCCAAGACGGGCGGATCACGAGGTCAGGAGATCGAGACCATCCTGGCTAATACGGTGAAACCCCGTCTCTACTAAAAAATACAAAAAACTAGCCGGGCGAGGTGGCGGGCGCCTGTAGTCCCAGCTACTCGGAGGCTGAGGCAGGAGAATGGCGTAAACCCGGGAGACGGAGATTGCAGTGAGCTGAGATCCGGCCACTGCACTCCAGCCTGGGCGACAGAGCAAGACTCCGTCTCAAAAAAAAAAAAAAAAAAAAGAATGTGAGGAATTCGCATAAGACTGCAGTGTGGAGTTTGTGGTGGAGACTGTGAAAAGGATAGAGAGGGAATCTGTAAATGACATTATAAAATGTGGAAAGTTTAAGTCAGAAGAGTAGCAGGGCATATGTGTTTTAGAAAGGTCACTCTGGCTGCTGTGTCAGGAATGGATGGGAGGGGAGCAGAACTATACGCAATGAGACTAGTTAAGAAGTTATATCGTCCAGGGTAAAGGGGTGGTAGTTGTGGGGATAAAAGGTAGGTAGATTGGGAAAATATAAATTGAAGTGTTCAGTCATCAATTGAATCAATGCGGGTGGTGAGGAAACAAGATAAATTCAGGTTGGCTGCTAGGTTTCTGGCATGGGAAATAGGGCATACTTTCTACGTGCTACAGCAGATGATAGTATTTCCTCTATCATAGTGATCATTATTACATCGTAGTTTCATTGTTATGAGTGGGGAGGGATCATATTTTTTTGTTTTAAGACAGAGTCTCGCTCTGTCACCCAGGCTGGAGTGCAGTGGCACGATCTCAGCTCACTGCAACCTCCGTCTCCTGGGTTCAAGCAATTCTCCTACCCCAGCCTCCCGAGTAGCAGGGAGTACAGGCACCTGCCACCACGCCCGGCTGATTTTTGTGTTTTTATTAGAGGTGGGGTTTCACCACGTTGGCCAGGTTGGTCTTGAACTCCTGACCTCAGGTGATCTGCCCTCCTCAGCCTCCCAAAGTGCTGAGATTGAGCTGGGTGTGAGCCACTGCACCCAGTCCCATATTTACCATCTTAACTGACAATGCCTAGCACATAGTTCCTGCCTGGCATTTATGGTAGTGAACATTCAATAAATATTTATTAAATTATTTAATGTATTTATTTTGAGACAGAGTCTCACTCTGTTGCCTAGGCTGGAGTGCAGTGGCACTATCACGCATCACTGCAGCCTCAACTTCCCAGGTTCAAGAGATACTCCCACCTCAGCCTCCCAAGCAGCTGGGACTACAAGGCACACACTGCCACGCCCGGCTAATTTTTTAAAATTTTTTGTAGAGACAGGATCTTATTATGTTGCACCTCAAGCTCCTAGGCTCAAGTTATATTCTGCCTTGACCTCCCAAAATGCTGGGATTATAGGTGTGAGCTACTGTACCAGGTCAATATTTATTGATTTCATATTAAACTAAGTAGTGGTATTGGGAGAGAAACAGGTTTGTGGGGAAAGCTGACAAGTTCAGTTTGGTTCATACTGAGTTCGTGGTACCTGCGAAATATTCAAGTGGATTTTTTGGTGGACAGTGGATTAGATGGAAGCCCCAGAGAAAGATCTGGACTGGAGATATGGTCCTTAGCAGCATATGGAAATCATTCGAGCTGGGGAGAGAATAAGACCACCCAGGGAGGACGCACAGAAAGCACAGGGCACAGGATCTCAGACAGGCTTCTGTGGTTTAAGGAACAGGCAGAGGAAGGTCATTCCTCATGCCACAGACAAGGAACTGCTAGAAAGGTAAGAGGGATACCAGCAGAGCATTTGTAGGAGAGAAAGGTCAATTGTGTTGCCTGCTGCTGAGATGTCAAGCAAAAAAAGGACTGCAGCGTGTTCGTGCAAGGTCAGGGCGACTCTATTGAGGAGTGACTTTGAAAAGGTGGTGGAGTGAGGGGACAGGAAATGGAGGTCCCCATACAGTGTAGGCAACTCAAGAAGTTTGACTGTAAAAAGAAAGACAGAAGAGGGGGCGCAGTGGCTCACGCCTGTTATCCCTGCACTTTGGGAGGCTGAGGTGGGCAGATCATGAGGTCAGGAGTTCAAGCCCAGCCTGGCCAACACAGTGAAACCCCGTCTCTACTAAAAATACAAAAAAATTAGCCGGGTGTGTTGGCGGCTGTAATCCCAACTACTTGGGAGGCTGAGGAGAATCCCTTAAACTGAGAAGCAGAAGTTGCAGTGAACTGAGATTGTGCCACTGCTCTCCAGCCCAGGCAACAGTGCAAGACTCCGTCTCAAAAAAAAAAAAAAAGAAGAAGAAGAAAGAGAGAGACATATATATGGTGGCACCTGGAAAGCCCAGTAAGGGGAGGTTTGTCTAAAGACGGGAGAGACTTGGATATGTTTAAAAGTGAATGCAAAGAAGCCAACAAAAACAAGCTAAAGTGTAGGAGAGAGAGTTTCAGAGAAGGCAAAAAAGGGTGGATTCAAGCACTGAACACCAAATGAATGAATAAGTGAATAAATGGGTGAAATTAGTCACTATTTTGGAAGTGGGAAGGAAGAGTTGAGGGATAGGGTTCTCCATGTGTTGAAGTAAGGTAAACTAAGAAGGAAGATCACTGAGGCAGAAGCCCAGTACTAGCCACCCAGTCCTCAGGGAAAGAGAGCTGGCTCTCTGATATCACCAGTGGCGAGGGGCATTCGCTCCTTAATCCACCTCTCCAAATCCAAACAGAAAGCCTCACATTGTGCAATGGAGAAGCTGAGAGAAGGGGAAAAGAGGAGTGGTCAGGTAAGGCAGAAGCAGAAGTGTGGGTTTTAAAGTGCTGGGAATCCAGGGAAGGTCAGTCCCCACCTTCCATCAGGAAGCAGCTGACATCAGCCCCCTATCTACCTGTCACAGCATCTTGTATTACTTGTCTATTGTCTCTGATTCAATTGTAATTATTAAGTTTATTGTGTCATTAGTTAAGGTCTGTCTCTCCTTAAGCTCCAAAAGGGCTCATTCCCTTCTCTCATCTCCAGTGCCTGACACTGCTCCTTACACGCAGGAGGCGCTCAATCAATCCTTGTTAAAAGCATAAATGAGGCCGGGCGCGGTGGCTCACGCCTGTAATCCCAGCACTTTGGGAGGCTGAGGCTGGTGGATCACCTGAGGTCAGGAGTTCTAGACCAGCCTGGCCAACATGGTGAAACCCCGTCTCTACTAAAAGTACAAAAACTAGCCGGGTGTAGTGACAGGTGCCTGTAATCCCAGCTACTCAGGGGGCTGAGACAGGAGAATCACCTGAACCTGGGGGGCAGAGGTTGCAGTGAGCCGAGATCACGCTATCACACTCCAACCTGGGGGACAAGAACGAGACTTTGTTTCAAAAAAAAAAAAAGCACGACTGAACCCACACACTAAAGTAGCTCCCGCCTCAAGAGGCTTGTGTATACAGGACAGTATCAAGGCTTCTCAGCTCCCAAAATTGTGTCCCGGATTGGGAGGGTGGTGATATTTTAACTCTGAATCCCTCTGTGTTTCTCCCACTTTGTCATTCTTTCTAATTTGGTCTTGCTATTTATTTGGCTTTCTGTTTCTCTGTCACCATGTCTCTCTGAGTCTGCACAGGAAGCACGCAGCTATGGTCTGAGGTGATTGGTAACGGAAACATTGATGCTTGTGTAAATTTAATAAAGAATAACACACATTTTTGTCTTTGTCATTAACCTTGTGTCTCCCTGTTCCTGTCTCAAACCTGATTCTTTCTTCTTATCTCCTTCCTGTATCCAGCTCAAGACTCCCACCACCACCCAGGACCAACTCCTGCCCCTGAATCTTCTGATGGGCCCCACAAGGTACTTGGAGGAAGACTACTGACCTGGGTCATCTCCTCTAATTTCCTGCCTTGCCGGCCATGCAGCCCTGCTGACCACATCCTCTCTCACGTTACTTACATACTTCCTCACCAGACACCACCAGGAGTTCTCAGCCCCCAAAACCTGTCACCGATCCTCACCAGGCTGTCTGCTCTACCCTCTCCCCCCACTCAAGGGCTCCTGTCCCCACCTCCCTGCAACACTGCTCCTAGAACCATGTCTCTCTACCTGGAGACAGCCAGGCCTGTTCCCTTCTGGGTCTCCAGTGTCCCTTTTTCCCACAGGTGACAGTGCTGGCTACAATGCTGTCCAGCCGGTGGTGGCCAAGTTCCTGGGGGAGCCTAGGACTGGGCCCCCAAAGCCCTTCTCGGGGATCCCAGCTCTGTGCCCTCTATGCCTTTACTTATACTGGGGCAGATGGCCGGCAAGTGTCTCTGGCTGAAGGGGACAGGTTTCTACTGCTTCGAAAGACCAACTCTGACTGGTGGTTGGCAAGACGCCTAGAAGCTCCCTCCACCTCTCGACCCATCTTTGTCCCAGCGGCCTATATGACAGAGGAATCCATCCCTTCCCAGAGTCCAACTACCGCCATCCCCAGTCAATTGCTCTGGACTCCTGGTGAGTAAGTGCTAAGCCTTCCTCCTTCACCTTCCTACCTCCCCTCACCTTCCTACCTCCCTGGCTTCTGGGAATTATTGGGAGGACCCCCCCTCCCTCAAGCTTCTACTAACCATTTTCTCTTGTTTTTCTTTGATCAGCCTGCCTCTCACCCCCGCCATGGCATCCTCATCCCACTGCCTGTCCTCCTAGTCCCAAGGCTTCTAGGTCTCATGCCATTTTCTACATCCTGCCTCTGCCCTCCTTGTCTTCCCTGTGAGCTCCCAAGATGGGGGACCCAGTTACAACAACACCTCTGATCATCTGCCACCCACCCTCCCCTTTTCTGTTTCAAGGGCCGAAGTTGTTTCATGGTTCCCTGGAGGAGTTGTCTCAGGCCCTCCCAAGCAGGGCTCAGGCTAGTTTGGAGCAGCCTCCTCCACTTCCCCCCAAAATGTGTAGGAGCGTCAGCATTGACAGTCTGAGGCCCTGCCTTCTGAAGCCTTTCCAGGAAGGACCAAGTGGAAGATGCCTCTCCCGGGAAGACTTGCCATCAGAAGCCAGTGCCAGCACAGTGAGTCACAGCTCTTCTGAGCTGGGCCCTGTTCTAGGCACAAGACAGACAGCACCCCTGCCTTCGAGGGACTCCCCTGGGGATGACAAACACAAAAACGAATAAATAAGATAACCCTTGGTACTACGATAAATCTACAAAGGCGAGTTAATGTGGTGGAGAGTGGCTGGGGTGTTGCAGGGAGGCATCTGTGAGGTGACGGCATTCAGTTGACTCTAAACCAGGAGGAGAAAGAGGCAGCCAAGAGGCAAACTGGGTAGGAGGTGAGAAGGGACAGCAGGTACCAAAGGCCCGGAGCGGACAGGGAACAGGGAGCAGTGGAGGCACTGAAAGGCCAGCCCTGTGTTCTTCCTTCCTCCAGACTCCTAGCCTAGGGCAGGATTTTTTTGTGTTCTGCTTGCCTGTTAGGCCACAGCAGGTCTCCTCTAAAGATGTGACTTGCTCAGCCCTTCCCTCTCTTTCTTAACAGTGGGTGGAAAGGGGCTCCTCCTGCCTTCTGTAGACCCTTCTCTGTCCTCTTTTACCTTGCAGGATATGAGGGTGGAGCACCCCCTTCAGCACGCCCCCCCACCCTTGCACACACACACACAAAAAGCCTGTTCCCCTTTCCTGTGGCCCTGAGGTGGGGGTGGGGTGGGGGAGGCGGGAAGTTGGCAACAGGAAGTGAGGAGAAGAGCAAAGAAAACTGTGAGAGAGAGAATTTTTAAAAAGCAGCTGGGGCCTGGGGTTTCTCCCCCAGTACCTGGGTCACCTCAGCCTGGAGCTGGCGGTGAGAAGACGATGGGGAGGGAGCAGGAGGTGGGAAGGCCAAGAGAAGCATGGGAAGGGCAACAGGCAGAATGACCACCTCCTTCTTCCCCCTTTTCTGGCAGGCAGGCCCCCAGCCCCTCATGTCAGAGCCCCCCGTGTACTGTAACCTGGTGGACCTTCGCCGCTGTCCCCGGTCCCCACCCCCAGGCCCTGCATGCCCCCCGCTGCAGAGGCTGGATGCCTGGGAGCAATACCTGGACCCCAACTCCGGACGCTGCTTCTACATCAATTCACTGACTGGCTGCAAGTCCTGGAAGCCCCCGCGCCGCAGTCGCGGCGAGATGGTGAGACCTTGCCTCCTGCTTCTCCACTGTCCCCCAAGCTCTTCCTTCCCCTACTGAACCTCAAGGTAGTGTGTTTTCTCTCTGGGGCTCTCAGAAGATCAGAAGAATCAGCCAAGTATAAGAAGGGTGTGGAGGTGGCATCTGGATGTAGCTTTATTTCCTCCTCCCCTAACCCAGAACCGTGGCTCCATGGAGGGGACACAGACCCTGAGGAGGAACAATGATGTCCTGCAACGTCAGGCAAAAGGCTTCGGATCTGACACAGGGACCCCAGAACCGCTTGACCCACAGGTGAGATCCCTCCCATCTCCCAATCACATGCAGAAAAAGCCAGCTTGTTATGACTTTCTGTTTTGTGTAAAACATTCTCCATTCCCCGTCACACCCCCTGCCTCTCACCCACATCCCACCCCTCTTCCCCCTTCAGCCAGGGATCCCTGAGTCAAGGGTTTCCCCACCTGCTTCTCCAATCCTCTCCCCTAGGGTTCACTCAGCCTCAGCCAACGCACCTCGCAGCTTGATCCTCCAGCCTTGCAGCCCCCTCGACCTCTGCCGCAGCTCCTGGAAGACCCCCATGTGAATCTCCCATTTCTTTGTGAATGCCAAGATCCTCCCTGCCCCACACCCCCCCCCCCAATTCCTGCTCCTCAAAAACATCTTCCTCTTTCTGAATATCCTCTTACCCAGCCCTCCCTCAGCAACTTTAAGGGACTTCACTCCTGGGAGACCCCCTAGGGAAAGCCGTGGCCACTGTGGAGGGCGCAGGGTGACTTACAGATACCATTCCCTCCATTTCCCAGGAGGTGGAAAAGTCGGGTCTGCTCAACATGACCAAGATTGCCCAAGGGGGGCGCAAGCTCAGGTGAGAACCCGGAATACAGCTAGGGCCTGGGCTGTCAACTCCGCAGGGTAGAGCAGGGTGTTGGAAGAGCACCCTCCCCGTGTAATTCTAGAATGACCTTTTCACTACCACTACCTCCCCACTCTGCCCCCGCAGGAAGAACTGGGGCCCGTCTTGGGTGGTGTTAACGGGCAACAGCCTAGTGTTCTACCGAGAGCCACCGCCGACAGCGCCCTCCTCTGGTTGGGTGAGTGTGAGCTAGGGGAGCAGGAGGGGTGAGGGCGCTGCCTCCGCCTCACGCCAGTGCGGGGCGTGGCAGCGCGGAGGGCGGTGCAGAGGAAGGTAAAGAAGTGAGGAAGCCTCCCACCTCCTCACAGCCCACCGGGGAGAGGGAAACATTGAAGGAAACAGCACCGTGGCCTCAGTTTCCTGTCTCATTGTCAGGGGCCAGCGGGTAGCCGGCCCGAAAGCAGCGTGGACCTGCGCGGGGCGGCCCTGGCGCACGGCCGCCACCTGTCCAGCCGCCGCAACGTCCTGCACGTGAGCGCCCTCCCGCGCGTCTCCAAGGCCCCACCCGACCAGAGGGCGCCCCCAATCTCCCGTGCAGGCCTCCCACTAGGTCTCCCTGCTTTTTATACTCCTCCCCGTTGACCCGAACGTTTCCCCACCTGGCCCTCAGATCCGCACGGTCCCTGGCCACGAGTTCCTGCTGCAGTCCGACCACGAGACAGAGCTGCGAGCCTGGCACCGCGCGCTGCGGACTGTCATCGAGCGGCTGGTTAGAGGGGTGCAGGCTGGGAGGGAGGCTCTGGCCGGCCGGGACCAAGGGAGTGGGGTAGGAACTATAGGAATCAGGGGCGGTGGGGGCAGGGTGGGCTCGGTGGAGAGCCCGGCCTGGGGCGGGGCTGGGACGTGGGACCCTGGTAGTGGGTCAGAGTCCAGCTAGGGGTGCAGATTTCTCTCCTCTCTCACCTTCGACACGGCCCGCCCCGGGTCTAGGATCGGGAGAACCCCCTGGAGCTGCGTCTGTCGGGCTCTGGACCCGCGGAGCTGGCGGAGCTGAGCGCCGGGGAGGACGAAGAAGAGGAGTCGGAGCCGGTGTCCAAACCGCTGCTGCGCCTCAGCAGCCGCCGGAGCTCCAGTGAGGCGCGGGCCGGGGAGGGAGGGTCCGGGAGCGCAGCGAGGCTCCTGGGCGCTCACGCCCCGCTCCACCTGCCTCCTGCAGTTCGGGGGCCGGAAGGCACCGAGCAGAACCGCGTGCGCAACAAACTAAAGCGGCTCATCGCAAAGAGACCGCCCTTACAAAGCCTGCAGGAGCGGGGTCTGCTCCGAGGTGAGGGGGCTGGGCCAGGTTCCTGGATAAGAAAACTCCAGCGAGGCTCAGAGTAGAGCTTCCCAGAACTAGACCACAGCCTTCTGTGACTGCTGCTTTCCCACTACCCCAGATTGTTTAGAGGAGAAGCCGGGAAGATGTGTACCCCTTTGTCAGATTGTTTGAAGCAGGGGAAGGGGGGCGGAGTGTATTTCCTTGCCCAGGCAGCCAGGAGGACCAGCCTCACTTAAGGATAAAGACCTATGCTGAAAAGAGCTCCGGTGAGTGACGCTGGCACTGGCTTCCCGCCTCACTTTGCCTCCCCAGACCAGGTGTTCGGCTGCCAATTGGAATCACTCTGCCAGCGGGAAGGAGACACGGTGCCCAGCTTTGTGCGGCTCTGCATTGCTGCTGTGGATAAAAGAGGTCATTTTCTCAGAGACCCCAGAATTCTCTTCCAACAGGCTAAGGCGTAGAATTTTCTGCCTCCCCCATTCTACTTAGTCTTCCTACTGCCCTTTTTCTCTCTACCCTTATATTCCTCACCACACACACTTTTAAGCAGCAGTCCTCATCTACTCCTCCCTCATCTCCCAGGTCTGGATGTGGATGGCATTTATCGGGTGAGCGGGAACTTGGCAGTGGTCCAGAAACTTCGCTTTCTGGTGGACAGAGGTGAGAAGGTTTGTGGGCCAGTGGTTGTACTAAGAATGTGTTGCCTGAGAACCATGGGAGATTCTACATGAGGAAGCTGGCAGAGCACAGAGACCGTCAGGCTGGAAGTGCATGTCTTAACTCCTGATCTCTTCTCATTCATGTTGCAGAGCGTGCAGTCACCTCCGATGGGAGGTATGTGTTCCCAGAACAGCCAGGACAAGGTACTTACATGGAAGACCCCTCAGATCCCTAAAACTTCCACATATCCTCTTTGTTTCCCATGGATACCCCCATGTACCACTCCTGGGAGGGTTGTCCTTATCCCCACCTTAGCTACCTTGCCCTACTGCAGACCCTCTAGGCATTCCTATAGTCTGCTTTGACTGGATTTCTCCAGAACTTCTAATCTCTTAGTCTCTAGATCTTTCTGGCCCTTCATGAGCCCTGAAGCCCCTATACCTCCTTCTCCCTCCAGAAGGTCGGTTAGATTTGGACAGTACTGAGTGGGATGACATTCATGTGGTCACCGGAGCCCTGAAGCTTTTTCTCCGGGAGCTGCCCCAGCCTCTGGTGCCACCACTGCTGCTGCCCCATTTCCGTGCTGCCCTTGGTAAGGATTGGAGCTTTGGAAAGAACCCTTGATATGGGGGACACGGGTGGTAAATAATAGAATAGAGGTTCCCTTATACTCTTCTTTCCCATTCTGACTTTAGAGATGGAAAATAACATTCAACTCAGGTGCCTACTCCAGGTGCTTTTTTGTGAATGTTTAGAGGGCTGAACTGAAAAGAATTATGAGGTAATAGTTGGGCTACGTGAAAAAGAAAGCTCTACTAGATTTATGATGTCTTCCATGCCTGTAGGAAAGAGCAGTGAATTTATTCACCCTGTCCTAGCACCTTCCCTAACCTCACTCCCATGCCTTTCCCATTACTCTCTCTAGCACTCTCCGAATCAGAGCAGTGCCTCTCTCAGATACAAGAATTAATAGGCTCAATGCCAAAGCCCAACCGTGACACTCTACGGTACCTCCTGGAGCATTTATGCAGGTCAGGAAGACTGAACCTTTTTGTTCATGCTGGGGAAAGGTGGAGTGGGGAATGCCACAGGGACTCCATGCAGGTTGAGTGAAGGTAGGGAAGCACCCAAGTTTAATGGGCAGGTAAGGAAACAGGCAACCTCTGTGCAGGAGCATATTACCAGGGTCAAAGCCTTTTTATTATTATTATTATTATTTTTTTATTTTTGAGACAGAGTCTTGCTCTGTCACCCAGGCTGGAGTGCAGTGGTGCAATTTTAGCTCACTGCAACCTCTGTCTCTCGGGTTCAAACGATTCTCCTGCCTCAGCCTCCCTAGTAGCTGGGATTACAGGCGCCTGCCACCACGCCCAGCTAATTTTTGTATTTTTAGTAGAGACGGGGTTTCACCATGTTGGCCAGGCTGGTCTCAAACTCCTGACCGCAGGTGATTTACCCACCTCAGCGTCCCAAAGTGCTGGGATTACAGGTGTGAGCCACCACACCCATCAAAGCCTTTAGGTCAAAACTTAAAGATCAGCATCAAGTGGGGAAATGGAACCAAGATGCTGTGAAAGAAATAAGGGAAATCTTGCCTCTCCCTTCCCTCTGCCTCTTTGTCTCCCATTGGGACCTTGCTGATGGCTTTCTTGGTTGAACTGGGCCTGGGCAGTGACTTCTGAGAGGGGATGGCCATTTGAATTAAAGACTCCCGAACCGTGAGCAGATAGAACTCTTACAGTAGTCCCTAAAGCCAGAAGAGGCAGTTGTATCTTCAGATTGTATCCTGAAGGTTTCTCCACTGGTCCATCTCCATTCCCCTTGTGTCTCTTTGGTTTTTTTTGTCACCACGTGGAGGAATCCCAGAGTGGCCTCCTCCCTGCTCAGACCTTGAAGGGTTAGATTGCTATGAAGTGGCAAGCTGCTGCCATATATCCCCTTCCTTTGCCTTTGCCCACAGGGTGATAGCACACTCAGATAAGAATCGCATGACTCCCCACAACCTGGGAATTGTGTTTGGACCAACCCTGTTTCGGCCAGAGCAGGAGACATCTGACCCAGCAGCCCATGCTCTCTACCCAGGGCAGCTGGTCCAGCTGATGCTCACCAACTTCACCAGCCTCTTCCCCTGACCCAGGGAAGGAAGAAGAGAAAACCTATTTCCAGTCATCTCTGGTGGTGAGAGGCTGGTGTTCTGTTTTGAGGACATCCCTTTAAATCTCCCAAATGACTGTCTCCATCTTCATGAGTGTGACTTGAGGGGTTGGGATGGGTGAGGGAGCTTCTCTAAAGAGGAAAGTGAGTGGATTAACCCCTGCTTCTCTTCTTGTTCCCTGTTATCATTCCTCCCCAACATAATAACACATAAAGTGGCATGTTGGTTTTTTTTTTTTTTCTGATGCAGTTCCTTTATTATCAGGAAACAGTGTCATTATCAAATTTCTCCTCAAAACATATACAGACTATACACAGCCCCCAGCCCATACCTCCCATCCCTGGGGCATCTTGTGCAGGGGACTGCAGCTGCCCCAATTTTTCTGGAAGGATAGAGACCCCTTAGGAAATGCAATCTGTGATGGATGAGATTCCCTACTCTTTAGGCACTAGAGTTGAGGAATTGTGTTTCCCCAGGCAAGGATCTCAGTAAGACACTCATATTGCCCACAGCCATGTTGGGGGGCCCAGAGGGAGGTGGGGTATGTCCAGAGCTGCCCCCCTGATCATGGGAAGGAGGAGGACTCAGCCCCTGGGCCTCATCCAGAATAGCCACAAAGTCCAGCTGAGTGTTGTCAAGATCAAGAGAGTCCAGAGGGTTACATACCTGTCCTTCGGGAGGAGGGTACAAGGCAGGACCCCCTCCTAACCTGCCCACCTCAGGATGGCCACAGCTGGGGTTTGTGCCTCCCACTTTGAGGGGCCCATAGCAAGTGGGCAATGGGGGCAGAAGTCGAGGTGGTGCTGCTGCCCTATGGGAAGCCCTGTTTGCCCCCACTACAAAATTTTCATGGCATGGTGAAGGGGTGGGATAGGAGCCTGACTTGTGATTGGGCAAGTTGGGTCCAAAGCCAGGTCCGTATGTGGTCACTGGAGCTTTAGCAGGGCTTGGGCTAACCTGGGAACCCCCCAGAAACTTGGGACTCTGGTAGGAAGGTTCCTGGGCTGCGGCATCTTCCCTGCCCCCACCCTCCCACAGCAGCTCCTGTTGAGACTGAACATAATTACACACAAGCTGAGCCTTGAGCTGCCCTGTGGAATGGGTGGGGGAATCAAAGTCCAGGCAAGGCCTGGGTTCTGAAGGAAGATAATCAGGGGGTGGCTGGGTATAGGGGCCTGACTGGAGATACTGGGGAGGAGGGGGCTGGGGGTAATGAGAAAAGAGAGGCTGTGGATGTGGGGGCCCCTCACTGGGGTGGGCATTGAGACAGGGTGCCAGTCCTGTAGAGTCAGACCCTACTGGGCACCCCTGTTCCGGCTTGACTTGCACTTGTCCATAATGTTCAAGTCGAGGACACTGGCTGTAGGCTCCACCTAGAGCCTTGGGGCCTGGGTACAGCCCAGAGTGGGAAGGGAACTCACCCCATGTTTCTTGGGTGGAGTCATGATATGAGGCCTGCTGGGGACAGGGGTTGGGGCCATAGTTGGTGGGTGGATCAGGCCCAAGAGGCAGAGAGCCTGGACCCCTCGCTCCATAAGGCTCAGCTGCTGCCCCTTCAGGTCCCCCATATCCCAGAGTATCAGCAGGTGGGAAGTCCATATAGGGGTTCAGACCACTGCCCATTATGGAGGTCCCAACTTCTGGCTCTTCCTGTAGTCCTCTAGTATCCATGGCAGCATTCTCAGTGATGCTGGGGGACTGTGGTGAGTAGACAGAGGTTGGGAGGTAAGGATCGAAGTTCTGTCCTCCCCCTGCCACAGTGGGTGTTGTATGCACACAGCCCAGGCTCTTGAACCTCTGGACTCTAGCTGGAGCAGGATGGTCAGCAGCCCGGGCTGGGTCACTGGCCCTTCGGGTGACCCCTGCATTGGGGTTGTATCCTGGATACTCGGCTCGGCTTCTCCAAGGAGGCATGGGAAGACCTCCTATCCGATCCAGGCTGGATGCTGCAGTGGGCGGAGTACCACCCCCTCTGACTGAAGCATATCTTGCCCGGAGCAGGTAGTGCTGAGCAGGCATAAGGCCAGGCAGGGAGGATGCTCCATTCTCTGGTGGGGAGCCAGGGGGAAAAGGAGAGGCCAGGGAGGAGCGGCGGCTGACAGTATAGGCAGAGCTGATGCTGCTGGAGCTGCTGCTGCGGCGGTCAAGAGAAACGGGGGGTCCCACGCGGCGGGACACAGGGGTACCTGCAAGTGATGGGGAGAAAAGGTAGGATGGTCAAGGAGTCTCTAAATCTCACCCTGCCTCTTCCATGCAACAGCCTTGTCCTAGATTCCCAGGGATAAGCTCATTATCCCTAACCAGTCACTTCTGTCTCCTACTTCTTCCATGTCTATTCTGTTTCTGGATTACCAAAGATTCAGGGTTGCTATGAACAATTGTGCAGGTTGTATGCTGCACAATCCTAGGGAACAGCATTCGCATCATAGCCTTTGCATACTTGTTTGTTTGTTTTGTTTTGTTTGAGACGGAGTTTCGCTCTCGTTGCCCAAGCTGGAGTGCAATGGTGCAATCTCAGCTCACTGCAACCTCCTTCTCCCAGGTTCAAGTGATTCTCCTGCCTCAGCTTCCTGAGTAGCTGGAATTACAGGTGCCCACCACCATGTCTGACTAGCCTTTGTGTATTTGTACATCACAACTATTTTCTGATAAACGGAAAGTGTATTGAGGAAGGAGATCTTTTTCTAATTATACAAAAGTGCCATGTGGCAGCCCTCAAGGGTGACTTCCTCCTCTCAACCTCAGGGCAGGTCCAGATCTCACCTTAGCCACACCTCCCACACCCAGGTCTCACCAGTGTGGGACAAGCTGGGCAGTTTGAGACCCCGGGTCCCTATTGGCCGGAGTTGATGCAGCTGGTCCAGCCTGAGGTTCTCAAGGCGGCGAAGAGTGGATAGACCAGTGCCAGCAATGCAAGGCCCCTCGTCCAAGCTGGAGAGGTCTTCAGTGCTGCCCCCCGCATTGCCAGCCATTTCTACACCGCTGTCTGTATTGGCTGCACTGCCTGCCGGGGAGTGGTCGCTGCTGCAGGATGACTGGGCCCCAGGACTTGGCTGTGGCTTCTGTGGAGAAGATGAGGTCTGAGGGCAACACCCTTCCCCACAACTCCTTCAACTTGATGAGTGGCTGAAGCCTGTGTCCCAGTGACTGCTGGGGTTCCAAGGAAGTTTGTAAGTGTAGAAAGGGCTAAGCAGGTAAGAGATAGGGGAGCAAACTGAATGTGAGATGTTTGATGAGAAGAACTTAGGCTGGAGCATGGACTGGCTGGACTCAAATTCTTGCTCTTAGTTCTATGACCTTGGGCTATTTCTCTATGCCTGAGTTTCTTCATCTGAAAATGGGACAAGTGAGTCCCTTTCTCATGAAGTTGCTGTGAGGAGTACATGAAATTATACATGTGAAATGCTTGGACCATATACTAAGCGCTATTTAAGAAAGAGTTTGGGTTGGATGCATTGGCTCATCCCAGCACTGTGGGAAGCTGAGGTGGGAGGATCGCTTGATGCCAGGAGTTTGAGACCAGCCTGGTCAACATAGCGAGACTCCATCTCTACAAAAGAAGAAAAATTAGCCAGGCATGATGGTGTGTGCCTGTAGTGCCTCACTCGAGCCCAGAAGTTCGAGGCTGCAGTGAGCTATGATTATGCCACTACACTCCAGCCTGGGTGACAGAGCAAGACCCTGTCAGAAAGAGAGAGAAAGAGAGAAAGGAAGGAAGGAAAGAAGGAAGGAAGGAAGGAGAGAGAAAGAGAGAGAAAGATTCTAAAATCTCTAGATTTGGGGAAGCCCAAAGAGCAACACTAAGACAAGAGACAGGCAGACTGGTCACAGAAGAGTGATTTCTATAGGAGGGGACGGATGGGTTGGGAAGTAACTAGAAAGATGTCCACAGAGTGGGCTGGGGTATGGAAGTGAGGGTTGCCTGGGCTTTCTCACCATGGCACCCTCTGGCACAGTCAGTCTGTTCTCCTCCCTGATGGGACCTGCTTCCCGCTCCCTCTTGGGCTCCACTGTAGAAATGGATGGTGCCCGAGGCAGGGGGCCATCCCCACGGTGCCGTTTGGTCACATGGGCGTCAGGACCATGCACTGTCTTGACATGTTTTCGCAGCGAGCTGGGATCTGTATAGCGTTTGGTGCAGCCAGGGAGCTTACACACATACGGCTTCTGTTGAGTGCAGAGTGGAGACAGAGGCAAATGGATCAAAGTGGAAGAATGCAGAAGAAATGGGAAAAGGTGATGACAACACGGGGGGCAGGGGAGGAGCACACAGCACCAAAGGAAGTAAGGAGGGTGGAGGCCTCGGTTGGGAGTCAAAGATGCAGAGATTAAGTGGAGGGTTAGGAAAACTGACAGCCTGAGAAAGATGAGGAGGTGAACCCAGGGCTGTGAGGTCCCATAAATCCAGGGGATGGAGGGATTAGGGGTCTCCTCTAGATGGCATATTTTAGGTTAGCCCTTTGGCTGGTTAGAGGTTAGAGGTAGGAGGAGGAGTGGTTAAGTGGAAATTCTGGGTTTCAGAAAAGCCTTTTCTGAGCGAATTATGTGGGGAGAGGGACTCACCTCTGTGGAGTGGGTGCTGGGCTAAGGGATTTCTTATTGGGCAATCTCCCTGGTAGGTAGCTTCTCAAGAGGGAAAGGTCTCTTAGTTGGGGCATTCACCTCATTGGAGTGGGTCCGATTCTGGTGCTTGGCTCGGTCACTGGCATTGCTGAAGGCTTTACTGCAGCCCTCATGCTCACACATGTATGGCTTCTCACCCGTGTGTGACCGCAGGTGCGTCTTCAGGTTTTCGAGGCGTGAGTATGACTTCCGGCACCCTTCAAACTGGGGGACATGCGGGGGTCAAAGGATAGTTCTCAGACAGAGGACATGGAGATGGAAGGAATCCTCAGTCTCCAAAAGGACACACATCAGAGAATATAACTCAAGATGAAAGGCACTGGGGCTTTGAGAGAATTCCCAAAACTAGGGGACAAGGGCAGGTAAGAACTTGGGGAAGGGAAGCAGTTGGAGGCACTCTCCCTTTGGGAATATAAAGATGCTAGAGCATCTTCTGACCAAGCCAGGGCAGATTTCCCTGCATAGGGATCTTACGCCATCCCAAGATGGGGTCATCTTGGGGGAACGGGCTGTTGTCCTTGATGCAGGGTTTATCCATTAGGCAGAGTAATAGGCACAGTACTGAAGGCCGACAATACTTTAAGAGGCCCACGAACATGTTTTAATGTCTTTTTTTTTTTTTTTTTGAGACGGAGTTTTGCTCTGTCGCCCAGGCTGGAGTACAGTGGCATCATCTCGGCTCACTGCAACCTCCGCCTCCCGGGTTCAAGTGATTCTTCTGCCTCAGCCTCCCGAGTAGCTGGGACTACAGGCACATGCCACCATGCCCAGCTAATTTTTATATTTTTAGTAGAGAAAGTGTTTCACCATATTGGCCAGGCTGGTGTCGAACTCCTGACCTTGTGATCTGCCCGGCTCAGCCTCCCAGAGTGCTGGGATTACAGGTGTGAGCCACTGCTCCCGGCCTGTTTTTGTTTGTTTGTTTTGTGACAGAGTCTCACTCTGTCGCCTAGGCTGGAGTGCAGTGGCATGATCTCGGCTCACTGCAATCTCCGCCTCCTGGGTTCAAGCTATTCTCCTGCCTCAGCCTCCCGAGTAGTTGGGATTACAGGCGGCCGACACTACGCCCAGCTAATTTTTTGTATTTTTAGTAGAGACAGGGTTTCGCCATGTTGGCCAGGCTTGTCTCCAACTCCTAACCTTGTGATTTGCCCGCCTCGGCCTCCCAAAGTGCTGGGATTACAGGCGTGAGCCACTGCGCCCAGCCTGGCCTGTTTAATTTCTTTTAAAATCAAGCGGAAAAAAAATAAGCTTTTACATCCAAGAGTGTTTTAATATATATCATTATATTCATCTTTATGCCAACACAGTCACACAAACATTATTTTTAATATTTGTTTATGGAAGAAAGGACTTACAAAAGCAAAAGTCTGCCTTGGGCCCTACCTTGAAGGAGAGCCCCGATTTAGGAAGAGACCCTGGACTTGGGACCCTGGTGCCTCACCGTGCACTTGTGTGGCTTCTCGCCAGTGTGTCTGCGCATGTGCACCACCAGCATGTACTGGGCTTTGAAGGGCCTCAGCTCCCTGGAGCAGCCCCCCCAGTGGCACACGAACTCCTTCCGCTCCCCGTGGATGTGCTCGCTGTTGATATGCTGAGGGAGAAGATACAAAGGCTCTCCGAGGCTCCGCCATGCCCCCAAGGTCCAGAACAGACCTTCCCTCCACTCCCTGTTCCTCTTCCATGACTCCAACTCAAGGAGGAAGAGGCAGGAACAATATCATATCTCACATCTCAGGTCTTCCAGCTCCCTAAGGCAAAGTTACAACTTCTGAGCTTCTGCCTACCCAACTGAGCATTCAACCTCAGTCTCCTCTGACCTCCTGCCCTCAGCCAGATTTTACCATGTCCCACTCAGAATCTCCTAAAGTTTTCGGTTAGCCATTCCTGTTACCCCCTGGGGCTCACGTGCACCAGCTGCTCTTGGGAGTCAAATTCCTGGCTGCAGCCATCCCAACGGCAGTCAGTCTCATACACAGATTCAGGCTCACGCTTCTCCTCTCTCTCAAGGTCCTCTCGCCCATCCAGCATCCCCAACAGGGAATCCTAGGGCAAGAGAGGCAATCTTAGGGTCACTTGGGTGACAGCTTTAGTTTTGCTCAGGTCCTAGAGGTAAAGCTCCCGCCCATCCCCTTACCTGTATGCCTGTGGAGTTGGGGCTGGACATATCACCTTCCAAGGGCTCCTCCTGGCACTTGCCAACCAGCATGTCCAGCTCAGACTTCAGCTTCCCCAGGGGAAGAGGTGACGGTGATGAGGGTGGAAGTCAGCAGAAGGAAGAGGAAACCAAGCCAGGTCTTCCTGCCCTAAGTGCCCCCACCCAAGCAGCTGGAACCTCCTGGGTTTGGAAGGGACTTCCTCCTCAGACTACACTGGTGAATGGGATGGGCAAAAGATCCCATTTGGAAGTGTCTGACTCAACTGCAAGGAGTGAACCCCAGCACCCACACCTCTTTACTTTCCTAGTACTGAAAACTTATAACCCTTGTCCTTCTTCACCTTTCCCCTACAAAATCCACCACCCACCCACCCTGAGCTAAGGGAAATCAGATAGCAATATGGGGACTCTCACCTGGCAAGTTGGGAGGGGTCCCTGGGACTGAGGGTGTGGGATCATCCCACCCCGGGCAGAGTCATGGGGACCACAAGGCTGGACTCCAAAGGAAGGCGAGGGCCCTTTTTGGTGATTCATCTGGGCTGGGAATCCCAGAGATGGGCTGAGGAGGAGAGAAGGCAGTTACTTAAGACAATCTGGAAGTCTCAGGAGGGATTGGGCTATTTGGAGGATTTCTGGAAGACTTGGGATTTGAAGTGGTTGAGGCAGTCCCAGGGAAGTACTGAGGAGAGTTGTCCTTGAAATGACAAGGATTCAAATAGGGTCAGGTGGTTTGAGGGCTTGAGACTTTTAATGGACTTGGGTAGGGGCTTTAGGGGCCTCTTGGCCCGGGGCTGACTGCACCTCATGGTGCTGATGGAGAGATGGCCATAAGAGCCTCCTGGAGATGTGCATCGCGAGTTGATAAAAGCTACGAGGGAGCTGGGTGAAGTGCGGATAACCGTCTGCAGGTCCAGGCTGGCGTCCGACAGAGGTGAAATGGACAGTGCCCGCTTCTTGGTCAACTTGACTGCACTCCGGGGAGAAGAAAAGAGTGGGCCTGGGGCAGGAGACAGGGGAGATGGATATGGTAAAGGGGCATGTCTCTCCACACACCTAACCTATAGGTCCTGACTTGGCAAAACCAATGAGACTTGATTCTGCTTTGCCCTACTGATCCTATCTGTGACTTTTTTTTTTTTTTTTTTTTTGAGACAGAGAGAGAGAGTCATGCTCTGTCACCCAGGCTGGAGGGCAGTGGTGCCATCTTGCCTCACTGCAACCTCCGCATTCTGGATTCAAGTGATTCTCCTGCCTCAGCCTCCCCTGTAACCGGGATTACAGGTGCACACCACCACGCCCGGCTAATTTTTGTATTGTTAATAGAGATGGGGTTTCACCATGTTGGCCTGACTAGTCTTGAACTCCTGACCTCAAGCGATCTTCCTGCCACAGCCTCCCCCTAAAATGCTGGGATTACAGGCGTGAGCCACCATGCCCAGGCCCATCTGTGATTTCTTGATGGTGCTCTGACACCTCATATCTCCAAACATCTCCTCCTCCAAGTGAGATCCCCTGCCCTCCCACCTTCTCTTTCAGAACAAGTCAGAGAGGGGCAGAAAGGGGAGAGGTGTTGCCTGAGTCCTCACCCTCGGTGCAGCTGTTGGTCTCTCTGGCTGGCCCATAACTGTGGGGGCCGGACATGAGGTTAGCTTGGTGGCAGAAGGGCAGGCCAGACAGTCCTAGAAAAAAGAGACAGCTGGAATGGGAATGGAGGACATGTAAGCCTCACCTTAAAACCCCAGGCAGGACCTGATCCCAGGATTCCAGGTCCATATGACATGGGGCCTCAAATCTTGTAGATAGGAAACTGGCATGGGGCGGGGATGGGCCCAAGTGGGAGATCTGCCAAATCCTCAAGGCCCAGGGATTGGTATATACACTGACCTTCTGTCCCCACACTGGGGGCCCCCTGACTGGGGAGGGGCCGGAGACAGCAGGGCTCGCCATAGCTACTGACTGGTGGTGGGGTCATCGAGTTGAACATGGCGTCTCAGAGGAGGGTGTGGGGACACTGCAGAAAGGGAAGGTAGTTATGAAGGTGGAGGCAAATAGAGACGGTCAGACAGCAGTCTCAGGCACTGAATCCTGGGCACAGCATCCCTGGTGTCCCCAGCCCCTCTAAGACATCTGCCACGGAAATCGAGTTGAAAAGAGCATCACTGGGCCGGGCACGGTGGCTCACACCTGTAATCCCAACATTTTGAGAGACTGAAGTGGGCGAATCACCTGAGGTCAGTTCAAGACCAGCCTGACCAACATAGTGAAACCCCTGTCTCTACAAAAATACAAAAGTTAGCCAGACATGATGGTGGGTGCCTGTAATCCCAGCTACTCAGAAGGCTGAGGCAGGAGAATTGCTTGAACCGGGAGACAGAGGTTGCAGTGAGCTGAGATGGCACCACTGCACTCCAGCCTGGGTGACAGAGTGAGACTCCGTCTCAAAAAAAAAAAAAAAAAAAAAAAGCGTCACTCAGCCAGGCAGAGGGTAAGGGGAAATGTCCCAGAGAGTCAGAGGGAGTCTTATAGGCTGTGTAGTCTGGGGATCTTCTTGGGAACTGGTGGGAGCTTTGCCTGTGTGGTTTGTGTGTAGAGGCATGTTTGGGATTAATTGTGCCTATATTAACTTCAAGTAATTTTAGTAACATGGACCCTCTAATTCTTCTTGTTCTAACCCTGGGCCGGCTTTGAGGGGTGGGATGGAAGAACACGTGTGATGTGTCTTCAAACACTGGGCCGCTCTGCTTGAGCCTGTTTCCCCTTCTCATACCCCTCTTCGGGGACAGCCCGGGTACAATCTCTGCAGTGTCCAGCAGAGGGAGCCCTAGCCACAGTCCCGACAGAGAGGCAGGTGGGGCCAGGAAGCAGCACAAGCGATCTGCCCTCTTCTTTTAGGCAGAAAACGGTGTGGAGGAGGAGGTAAGGTTCCTGAGGGGTCTCCTGAGTCCGTTGAGTACAAAGGTGAAAGCTGGTGTTATTCTGGGGTAGTTTAAATCGGGTCCAACTAATCTTTTTGGTCTCTGTTTTGGGGGAACAGGAAGGGAAGTATGAGGAGAGATTTGAGAGAATGAAAAAAACAATGTCGTCGTTATAAAAAAGCAGCGAGGAAGAAGTTGCTGCGGTTCGTTTTTTCTCTTCAAACTCCAGTTTTGATTCCATCCCGGGTTTTCCGGTCTCCCGAGAATGAGGGTGGGGTGGGGCGGGGTGGGGTGGAGAACCACCGGGAGCGGGCCGGGCCGGCCGGCGCGGTGGGTGATCCCGGGATGCTGGGATTTAGGGTGAGGGCGGGGTGAGATGGGGAGCGGAACCCGGACCCCGCGACCCAGTCCGAGCCCGGCAGCTTGGGCTGTACCCTTCCTAACTCCTCCTTTTCCAGCCGAGATGCGGATCCCGCATCCAAGACCTCCCAACTCGACCTTGGCACTAATGTTGGGGGCGGGGGGCACAGCTGGCTGGCAGCTGGATGGGGGGGACAGTTCTCCCGCCTCCTTTCCTCTATGACTCACCCAGGGGAAGGAGGCAAGTTCGCAAATGATCCCCCAAACACTAGAGACTCCCCCAAACTTGCCTACTCAGTCATCTTACTGCCCAGCCGCCGAAGAGCCTCCAAGGAAATGGGGCGACATCCCTCCTCGCCCACGCGTGCCACAGCCCACCCACATCTCCCCTTCAGACTAGTAAAAGGAAAATGTTGCCAACTTTTTTAGCTTCGGTAAAGTTTTTCTGGGGTGTGAGAGTTCGGGATGGGACAGGGAACTCTAGGGTTCCCCTGCCGGGGCCCCAAACCATCTTCGGTGTCTCCCTGTTTTCCAGCGTCCCCCTCGCACCCCCGCTCCCTAACTCCCAGGAGTCGGCTCCGCCCCCCTACTCCGGGTCCCGCCTTCCCCGCCCCCGTGCCTCCTCGGCCCACCCAAGTCGCCGCCGCAGGCACTGGCTGCAGACGGCTCTGCTCCCCCCGCCCGCCCCGGGAGTCCAGTAGAGCGAGCCGTAGGGGTGGGGGCTGAGGGGCGGGACACATTCTTCCTCCTCTCAGCGCATCCGGAAAGCAGGCAGTGGCGCCCAGGGGGGCACTACTGGAGAATGGGGGGTTCCCGTTGATGAGGTGAGAAAGGGAGAAGAATCCAGAAAGTATAGGGGAGAGAAAGGAGAGAAAGTGACTGGGTCAATAAAATTAGGTGTGTATGGGGAGGAGGAGGGGCCGGGACACCTTAGGTTCCTGGTTATCGCAGCTGGCTTCCCAAGGGTTAACCCCTCCAGACCCCCGGGAACCCCCTGGTGACGTCAAGGGCGGGGATGCCAGGGAGATAATGGTGGAGGGGGAGAGGTCTTTGGACCCCGCCCCCTAGGGAAAACCACCCTTATTCCGACCCTTACATCTCCCCCGGGAAACCGTCCGCCTTCTCCCTCTACTGGAACGTAAAGACTTATCCTAGAAGACCCCAGCTCTCCAGAACCCTAAAACCCTCAGTCCCCAGGCTCTACGGGGTCCCCTTTCCCTAATCCTGTCCCGAAAGCTGGCTGCCCAGGGCTGATTGTTTCGGGGTCATGGGGCCTGAAAGAGGATTCAGAGCGGGGAGCAAGGGCAGGCAGGGTGGTCTGAGCCAGAGGAGGGGCCTCGATCCCCAGCTACCGTTTGGGCGGGGGGCCAACGGGGATACACAGGCTGGCAGTGGCCAGTGGTCCCGCCCAGCCCCGGTAGGGGTCTCCCTGCCGCTGGCTCCCGCTGCCCCGGTGGTCCTAAGGTCAGAGGGTCAAGACAAGGTCTCCCCGGCTCCTCCTGAGCGCCTTGCCCACAGGCCTTGGGACTCAGGAGTCCAAAATTGCCTGGGGTCATTCTAGGGCCTTCACTAGACCTTGGACAGCCCCCACTCCCAGACCCCTTCCTAGTCCAGAAGACACTCCTTTCCCCCAAAACACAAGCATCCACTGGCACATCTGTCACAAGACAGGTCAAGGATTCAAGCCTGGCTGGCCCGTAGTAGTTCTGTTGCCTCCCACACACCCGTCCCCACCCCACCTGGAGCTCCCTCTTTGCAGTCCCCTCCTTTCAGGAACACTGACGTCTTCCTGCCCCACGCGCAGACACACACCTGGAGTTCCCTCTCTACAACGCAGATCTCCAACTAGCCATCCCTCCAGCCTCTTCAGCTCAACCGCATGAAAGTGAGATATTTCTAATATATAGGAGAGGCGGAGACAAAGACCCACGGTTCCCTGAGACAGAGATACACAGACTGACAGAAGAAGAAAAGGAAGAAAAAGAAGATTTAGAGAAAGATACAAGTGATAAATTTGGAGTTTCTAATGTCTCACTCCAGACTCTCCCACCCCTATTTTGCCTCTATGTCCCGGGTCTGGGATGAGTCCCTAGGAAGCTGAGCATCCCCTCAGGCCCCCTCCCCCACTGCTCCCAGGTGGTCCCCCGCCTGCCCCTCCTTCTCACCTCTGTCTGGGCGCTGGGCTCGGGATGCGCGGTCCAGGGCTGGAGTCTGGGCTGGGGGGTGTGCGGTGGGGAGGGGGGGCGGAGAGGGCCACGGCAGCGCAGCCTCGATGCCACCCCCACCCCCCCAACCTGGCCCCCAGCCCTCCCGCCGGCCCAGCCCGCCGGGCCGCAAGCCCGGACCACCCGCGAGAAGCGCAAATTTTTTTTTTCCCTTTTGCAAAAACTTTTTCTCGCTCCAGCCGCTGGCGCGCCGCCGCTCTTCCCGCTCGCCCCTCACCTCCCTTCTATTTCCCTCCCTCTTGCCGTTCTGGAGGATGAGGCGGGGTAGCTGGAAGCAAGAGAAGGGGTGCCGGGCTTATTGCACCCCCAGGACCCCCAGGATCCTCCCCCTCCCTTGAGGGACCCTATACTGCCTACGCCCCCCCAACCCCCTCCCCCCCCCCGCTGAACACGCTGCTGTTGGTAGGTGGTAAATCCCGGCTTGGATTTTTGGATCGGCTGGTCCCAAAGAGGCTCCCACAACCAGACTGAGGAAAATATTGCAGGGCAGGGGGAGTTCGACTGAGAACGATAATAGTGAAGGTGGGGTAGTCGCCTTTGGTTGGTGCTAACTGAGCATTCTGTCATCCTGTGGTTTATCGGCAGGCCTCACCCTTTGGATGGAACTTGGAGCTGCTGGCGCAAAGCTGGGGTTTGGAGCAAATCAAGTTGAGGGGTTGGGGGCTCTGGCAGAAGGTGAGGAGTCTATGGAGCATAAAAGCAAGGAGCAGCGACTGAGGCTCTGGATGCAGGGTGTGTGTTCATGAGGTCACCAAGGAGCACTGGGACTGAAGTCCCTTTCCGGGGAACCCCGGCTCTGCGTCTCGAAGTTCTGGAGACTGAGGCCCCTCTGCACCACGCCACTGCAGGCTCTAGCCGCTCTTCCAGGCTTTCTACTCCCTCTGCTGGCCGTTCTCACACATGACACCCGCTCGGAGTCGAAGCAGAAGAGCTGGGGGAGCTGAAGGAGGAGCCCAGACAGGTCCCCTCACTAAAGCCCATTTAGAAGCCCAGGAGGTGGATAGGTGAGCTCAGAGAAACGGAGAGGCAGAGATTGCTATGCCCAGCGGTACTGCCTGACAGGGAAGTGCCCTGCCTCTTTAGATTTGCGTTGCCATTGTGACTGGATATAGGGGAGGGGCAGCATTTCAGTCTCTTGATTTTTATAAGAGGAGAAAGCATGATAGAGAAAAGGAGCACCCTCTCCCCTTTTTTTCAACCTCACAGGCAGACCTCCCACATTCTAGCTCTGCTTCCAAGAACCACCCCCTTGGGTCTGGAAGGTCAGTGGGTTAACTGTTCAGTCTGAGAGTCAAGGGGGAAAAGAAAAGGTGAAGGTAGGAGGAGGTCAGGGACTTTGACCCAGACTAGTTATCCCCAGAGGGTCAGAGACCCAGCTCAATCAGACCAGACTAATGGTCACTGAAAAAAGGCACCCCACACATGCTCCTGTCCCAGCCTCAAGCCCCTTCTTCCAGAGGAGCTATTTATGTATGTAGGTATGTATGCATTTATTTTTGTTTGGGATGGGGTCTCACTATTTGCCCAGGCTGGAGTGCAGAGGCTATTCACAAGTGTGATCATAGCCTTGAACTCCTGGGTTTAAGCGGTCTTCCCACCTTAGCCTCCCAAGTAACTGGGACCACCGGTGCCCAGCAAGAGGAGCTCTCTCAGAACACGTTACTTTCTTCTCCCCACCCAGTTCTGTAGACCAGTGAGTCTCAAACTTTTTGGTTTCCTCTATACTCTTAAAAGTCATTAGGTCAGTCACGGTGGCTCAGACCTGTAATTCCAGCACTTTGGAAGGCCAAGGCGGGCAGATCACCTCAGGTCAGGAGTCCGAGACCAGCCCGGCCAACATGGCGAAACCCAGTCTCTACTAAAAATACAAAAAAATAGCTGGGCGTGTTGGTGCAGACCTGTAGTCCCAGCTACTTGGGAGGCTGAGGCAGGAGAATCGCTTGAACCTGGGAGGTGGAGGTCGCAGTGAGCCGAGATCACGCCACTGCACTCCAGCTGGGCGACAGAGTGAGACTCTGTCCCAAAAAAAAAAAAATCATTCACTACATTAGAAATTAAAACTGAAAAAGACTAACACAAGACTATACAAGCACACATTCCATTAACAATGATGTCAGAAAGATGATGTAATCACATGTCACACAGCCTCTGGAAAACTCCACTGTACAATTTTAAGATAATGAGAATTCAAAAGGCAAATAACATGTTAGTATTATTATGAAAATAGTTTTGACTTTGTGGACACCCCTGAAGAGGGACCTCCCAGAAGCCTACGGAACACACTTGGAGAACTGTTGCTCCGGACCATCACCTGAACCCTTCTTTATGAGTCACATTTATTGATTTTCTTTCTCCTTTTTATTAAGAAAGTATAAGCCGGGCGCGGTGGCTCACGCCTGTAATCCCAGCACTTTGGGAGGCTAAGTCGGGTGGATCACGAGGTCAAGAGATCGAGACCATCCTGGCCAACATGTTGAAACCTCGTCTCTACTAAGAATACAAAAATTAGTGGGCACCTGTAATCCCAGCTACTCAGAAGGCTGAGGCAGGAGAATCACTTGAAACTGGGAGGCGGAGTTTGCAGTGAGCCAAGATCGTGCCAGACAGAGTGAGACTCCATCTCAAAAAAAAAAAAAAA